GGGCTGGTACCCTCAATCTTTCTATCTCTACTGTCTAGTGCAGAAACTAGCATAGTATGGTTGCTTATTAAATGGTTATTGAACAAATATTAATTAAGGTAGAGACTCTGATGTTTATAGGGTTAGTTTTAACTCCATTAGGGAAATAATACTTGAGTCAACACAGTATTCATATATTTCTTCTCTTAACGGCCAATATTTAAAATGCAATGCTGTGTGTGTATGATGCATAGATGAAAAAGCCATGAATCCTACCTATAGGGAACTGACAAATTGGCAAGAGAAATAAACACACACACATACACACACACACACACACAGCCATAATCATTACATGAGAGCAAAAATGACATACTAAAAGAGAAATAAATAATCTCTGGGAACACAGCTGAGAGATAATTCTTCACAAATTAATCCTTCATTTGGGTTTGAAGAATGGCCTGGAAGAGTGGTTTCCAAATAGAAATGACAGGTGGCAGGCGGTTGTAGCAGCACAGCCATATCACTGCGGCGCTTCCCAAGTCCGTGGGGCTTTGACTTGACCCGGAGAATTAGAGGGTCTGGTTTGTGTATTCTCCAAAAGCCACTCTCCTCAAAGACAAGTTATTCTGGTATTGTCTTCCTCATTTCTCCTGCCTCCAAGACTTGTAAATCACCACAAAACAAGAAAAAGAGCTCCTCTTCTGACTAACTGGCAGGGTTAAGGGTTAAAGAATTAAAACAATGCCACTGAGTGAAAACACTTTGTAAACTTTATATATATATATATATATATATATNTTTTCCTTAATTGAAGTTAGATGATATACAATATTATATTGGTTTCAAGTATACGACATAGTGATTCAACAGTTATCTATGTTATTAAATCCTCACCTCAACTGGTGTACTTACTATCTGTCAACACAGAAAGATGTTACAGAGTCATTGACTATCTTTTGGGTACTTTTGCCGCATCATAAAAACCAAACCTCAAAATCAGCACCAAGGTAATTTTCCATAAAAATTCATTAACAGTACCTTGTAAAAGAGATGATTTTTAGAGACTTAAAATTTTAGAAGCTGAACAAATCTGGTAACATAGTCCTATTTCTTCCAATAATTTTCTGGTGAATTGTCAAGCATTGTACCTCCTGATGTTTCCAGTAGATGACCACATTTTACCAGCAAGAGAAAGCCTTTTCCTACATCTGGGTAATAAATGCTAATCACATTTCCATCCCTAGGTGCACAAACAATGGCTTTAGAAACTTGGCACACACCTTCTCCAACTGTAGTACATTCACCACTCCATTTGGTTCATAGTCTGATTGATTTTACACGTAAATAGTTAAAGGAGATGTAATGGCTCACAAAGTACATTTCTGATAATCTAATAGAGGCTCTACACATCAGGTTTTGCTTTATCCTGCAAAAAATAATTAGCATTTCATAATCTGCCAATACCTCTTTATTGAATGCGTTTTTGACTGTGTCAGTGTCCAAAGGGGGCCTCCCAATAAATAAAGCATGTAGCCAATAGACCAAACATTATCCAAGTCCATGTGCACTTTGAGTTGCAATTTCTGGGGTGAGTGTAATTAAGACTTCTGTATAAAATAGAGTGCTTTTTACATGGCATTTTCAACTGAGTTAATAGCCCAAACTTGGCCATTATTCATAAGTAAGAGACCAGTTTCTGATATAATACGTCATGAAACTAAAAATACAACATTCTTCTGACAATCTGGTGCATGAAGTTTAAGCTTTGCGTTTTGAAAAGGCTTTCATCCTGTTCTTTAGATTGGTGTTCCTTTTGCTATTATGGTGCATTTCTAGTACGAGGTACACATCATCGCTATCTTCCAAATAGTTATAAAGCACCAAAGTAGAAGGATCTTCCAATTGGTAATGTGTGGACTCTATACCACTCCAAATTTCTTATCTATTATTTTGACTACAACTTCCAAGCCAGTGTGAATGAACTCAGCTCTGTAGCTACCAGCAAATGATCCTCTTCTGAGCAGGTTCTAGCTTTCCAATTTCCTATCTTCTCTCCCACCCAGGTCGCCACATTTCCAGGCATCGGCTCAGTGCCTGGTAGGCCCCCATTAAGCTCAGCCCCCACAACTGTGACTCCAGTGGCAAAAGCACAACCAGAAAAAAAGGTCTCCAGGGCATCTGCCAGGCCAGGAGGATGCAGACCCGAGCTCTCATTTAAAAAAACCAGCTTGGGCTGGTTGCCCCACAGGGCAGCAATGGGAACAAAAGCAGGTTGTTACCACCCCTTGTGGGGAAAATTTTTCTTTCAGGGAGGTTGTAGTGTGTGGTAGTTTGACATTTGCTGGAGTCAGATTGCCTGGATTTAATCTGTTATTTATGTACCATATACTTATATGACCATGTACATGTATTTATAGGGCCGTATACTAGCTGTGTGGCTTTTGAAAGCTGCTGAATTCCATCAGGTCTCAATTTCTTAAAAGTAGCTAGTATTTACCTCAATGGCTCACTGAAATGATTAGTGAATGGGTATGTGTTAGCTGTGTACAAGAGTTTGCTGTATTTTCAGAGGCTTTGGAAAAGGAGTCATGCATTGTATAGGCCATTGTGACTGAGTTGGCAAGAACTTTCGAGACTATTGAGTGCATATTTCTATGCCAAATTTCTAACTTTTCAGTTGTTTATTGTAACATAAAACAATTCCACGGAAATGAGCTCATTTCTATCTTCAGCTCATGGCTGACCAACAATGACTGTATGCATCTTTGCACCAGCTCTTATAGGAGTATAGGAGGATGTGAGGAGTTCAGAGCAATGTGAATTGAACAATATTCTCTCTGTGCCATGTAGTATTATATTCTGTGTATTAGAGTGAGAAAACTGGGTTATAAATTATACATAAGAAACTTCAGTCATTAATTGTGCACAAGTTAATTATAGAAGGAAGGGGATAAAGATTACCTCATTTTCTGAACCCTAGATATTAAAAATATACATAGTTTAAGCTAAATTCTACTCACTTAGAGAAAACAACTGCAAGTGTCCAATTCTACAAGGACATAGACTGGAATGGATTCTCGTTAATTCCATTCACACAGGATCCATGTTGCTGCGAACTCATTACATCTAGCTAAAACCTCGGAGTGTGGGTGACTCCCCTCCCCTCCGCGGGCCCTGCAGAGCAGCACCCACTGGGATGAGCAGACACCACAAGGCCTGCAGTGCAGCAGTAGCAGGCCTTCTGTAGAGACATACCCAGCGCTTTGTTGAGTCTCTTCTAGTCAAGAGATTGTTAATTATCAAATATCTATTATTTGGACATACAGAAGATAACAGACTGAGGAACAAGTGTCCACACTCTCTGTGGAGAGCTTGGAGCTGATTTCAGTCACTCTATTACCTGTATAGCAACAGAGCAGTGTCAGCAGCGATCCTTCTGCCTACATCTCCTCCCCTGGGTCAGGTGGCTGTGATGTAAAGGAGGAGGTGTGTGCGCAGGGTCTTGCTGAGGGAACCATAGATGCTCTGCATCTCCAGGCGATTCCACACCTACTAGGTGCAACCGGCTCTGGGGGAGAAATGCCTGAGATAGCCCTGTGTTGTGTAGTTGTGGAGTCAGAATGACCGGTATGGAAGACAGGGCAGAAAAAAATCTTGGCACCAATAAATCTTCAGCAATTTACTCACTTATGTTCTAGTATTACTTTATAGGTTCCTAACACTTCAGCATTAACTTTCATTCAGTCCTCACAGTAACCTTGTGATGAGGCAGGACACATACCATGCCCTTCTTACAGAAATACAAAGTGACTTGTCTAAGGTCACTAAGCTGATAGATGTCCAAAGTGGAATCCACCACCTTGGTCTCCTGACTGAATTTAGTGCTTTCTAAACTGCAGCAAACCCTGTGGCATGATGATCTACCTTCTGGATCATCCTTCAAGAATTGTACACATGTGCACATACATGTATGTGTTTGGGATGTATGTATGCATATATGCATAGTTTTTCATTATAACTTCATATGTGCTCATTGCAGCAACATTGGCAGGAGAATAAAGAAGAAAATGTGTCCCTAAAAACTCTTACTATTGTCATTTGGTGTATTTTCCAAGGAATCAAGTGAAATTTTGCTCTGAGCAGAGAGATTTCACTTGATATCATTGGGTGAGGGTGTATTTGAGAAATAAAATGTCCAAACAGTTTTCAGAAGTTTGACTTTATAAGTATGTGACTATATTTCCTTCCTCAGCTATGCTTGGGCGCACTCAACACAGCTCCTTATCGCTGGGCTTTTCGTGATTTGAGACTTGCTGATCCTGCACCCGGACAGCCATTCTGCTTTTTGTCTCTTCTCATCTTTAACAGTATGTCCAAGTTCTGGCTGAGCATCTAGCATCTCATGAGATCCCGTCAGTCATCTCCTTTTCTCTCTGTCCCCTTTCCAAAACTCCGTTCCTCTCTAACCCATTGTAAGTCAAGTGAAAAAGAGTTGTCAAAACTCATAACATTCTTCTCCCATTTTTAACTAATCGTGTGACCCTAAGTACATTGCTTCCCTCCTCTGAGCCTCAACTTTGTCATCTTTAAAATGACTCTGACTCATATGATTTCCTCTCCAGACCTAGCTTTCTTACATCCCATCATTAAATACCTTTGTGCCAGAGTGTGAGTGCCTGATAACCTTGACTTCCCGGGAGAAACTGACCAGAGAAAAGTGACCTCTTCTTGTTAGCCCAGATCAATTTATTCATAAATTCACTCAATCCTCTATGTATATTCACTCAACAGATATTTGCTAAGTATTTTCTAAAGACTGGAGGTACCTGGGTCTGGTCACAGGTACAGAGTGCCCCTGGCATCATGTATCAAGAGTACAGACAAGTAAACAGGTAATCATAAAAAATGTGATTCTATTAGAGGGGAAGTACAGCAATCTATTAGACTCGCTGAAGTGTAGCAGTACAGAGTAGGTCTCATCTGGAGGAACAGTTGATTATAGTTATGAATAAGGCAACTTTTAGAGATTTTATTAGCTTTTATTGAATTTCATCATTACATTGTAATTAGACAATATAGATGATAAATGTTTTTAATGGAATTACCTCTTGGTGTTCTCATACAGGGCCTGAGCAGGTATCAGAAAAGATATTTTGAACTCTTTTATAATACACTGTTAAGTAGTTGTTGCATTTCATTCATGGAGCTTATATAATGAACAGTGACATTAACATATATAGACATCTTTGTCTGGACAAAATGTACCCTTGTTTGGGTTACACTACTTTTCCTACAATAGGAATCTTTCAGTTGTTTGTTTTACATTCCCTAGGAAAGCCATGACATCAGTGCCTCCAGTTCCCTTATTTTCCATTTCCGATGGCTCTTCAGATGTTTCGTTGCTCTTGGCTGACTTTGCAGGATTCACAATGTACTTCTCTACTATCTTCAGGTGGTACTCTCTCAGGGAGACCATAGCTTTGACACACTTATTGTAAGACGCCTTCAGGCTGGCATCACCTTTCAAAAGAACAAACTGACGGACTGAGAAGCCTGACTCCAATGAGACAAGAAATTTCCGGTGAGCTGGTGGCATATATTTTCTCATATCCTGAAGGAATTCAGCATCAGATTCTGAAGGAACAAGAAAAAGATGAGTTAGCAGGGAGGCTGAAGCATTCCCCAGTCCAGGGATAAGGGCAGAATGAGGTCAGCTGGTGAGAGATCACAGGCCCAAAGCACAGCATGAGGCAATGCGTTCACAGCAGTCCTATTAGAAGACTTTCTTCTTGCTACCAGTAAGGTAATCATTGTAAAATATACTTAATTCTGAAAACCATGTGAGCTCAACTCTTTCTTTCATGCTAAGACTTTTGCTAGCTCTTCCTTTCTCACTTTCCTTCTGTTTTTTGTTCAGACATATTTGTATGGAAGCACTTAAAATTCATGAAGTAAACAAAAGATTAGAAGGAACTATCCAAAATTGCAAAGAAGGTTGGTACTTAAAAAAGCAAAAACAGAAAGAACGGGACTGTCCAGGCAGCAGGATGGCTGAAGGAGAGCAGTGCTAAGCCTCTCCTTGATGCTGAGGTCTCCATTCTCCAAATTCAACTCCCTGTCCTAACTCATTTGCAGGTGACTTTCTCCTTCTAAATCTGCTGTGCATTTTCAGACAAGTGCTCCTGGCTTCACCACAGTTGATCAGAACTTACATACATATTCAAGTATCAAGACTGAGAGGGTGATGAACTTGCATTCGAGTTCTGGCTTCCCTGCTTTCTAGCTGGTTAACAGGCAGCCAGTCACCTCTCTCCTTTAAGTTTGTGCTGCTTCATCTATGAAATGGAATGACAGCAATAAAGTCTCTACTTTCCTGATTCTCCTGAAAGCATCAGATGAGCTCAGAGGAGTGCTAATGGAAAGGACTTTTTATATATATATAAAATATTATTGCATTAACATACAAGATGATTATTATTTGTTGTTATCTACTCACTTTTACCAGAGTTCTGCTGGATGCCCAGCAGGACGTCGAAGCACTGAAAGATGCTGCTTTGGGCTGCACTGCCCCCTGCAAACATCTGTGGGGTGTTCTCAACACCTTCATACAGCAGACCCTCCGACAGCAGGGGGTTACCTTTCCAGCTAGGCCAGGAAGGAAAAAAGAATCATTATTTGGATTAATTGCCAAATTTTCAGGTATAAAATCTTGCAGTAGAGGATGAATGGAAGGAGACAAGAGATAGAAGGAGACACGAACTTCTTCCACACTCCCTCTTCCTCTCATCCTTATGCATGAGAATAATAAAGAACATGGTTCTGAGCAAATCTGGCCTAAGGATTCTGTGAATGGAACCTTATCTTTACACTAGTGAAGATCCCCCAGTGCATACGCCTGGCCAAGTAATAACAGACAAAATTGTCTATTCTTTCTCTACAGTATGGATTTTAGGTTACCAATTGTTTCCTAAACCCAAGTGGAGGACTATCAGTGGGATCTTGGTGTGTGCTGTATGTTAATTGTTTAAGAGAAAACAAATTTCACATGTAAAACCACATACCCAGACAAGTATATGCGAAGAACATTGAAGAACTGGTTTGGGTCCACGTATTCTGTGAAGAGATAGAATGTGTTTAATTAAGCAGCATCAGTGATATCAGAGGAAATCAAGCCCTTGTAAACAACAGATTTGGGATTTCAGCACAGGGTGCAGGGGAGGCATTAGGTCACTCTGCACATAAAGTCCTGAGGACAAGCTCTGACTCATCTGTCCTCTCCCAGGGGAGCCCGTGTCCACTTCACGGGGTCTTCCACAAGGCTAACCCTCAGCTTGAGTCAAAGCACCTGAGTCCTCCCACCACTCACCCTCACGAGGTCAGTTTCTTTAAGGCCCCTTCATGTGCTTACTGATATAACAGAGAAACTACATACCTAAGGGAAGAAACAAACCTAAACAAAAACAGAAAGAAAAACCCCAGTTTCCCTATGGACCACAGACCTGGGACTCTCCCTCCCCAAAGCTTGCCAACATCTTTGATCGGAAGATAAATCTTGCCAAGTACTGAAGAGCAGAAACGCAGAGCCCAGCAACACACAAGGCACACACTTGTTGGGGCTGTCCAGTGGCGCCCATTTCCTTTTACACATTTTTGTTTATTCACTCTTTTAATTATTGGTGTTTTTTAGCTGCTAATTGTGCAAACACTTTTGAGCTCAGTGGGTTTTCTGTATTGTTTTCTAGTGAACTAGTGGTAAAGCAGAATTTGCAGAGCTCCTATCAAACTGAGCCAAAATTTGTCACAACTTAAAAATGTACCTCTGAGTGAGTACCTTTGGCAAGTTTCTCCATGGTTTTTAGTAGGTGACAAAGACATTTCTTAGAGATGAATAGACCTATCTTGGAATTCTGGCTTCTCAAGGTATTACTTGTCATATTTCTTGTCACTCCAAACTTAAATTCTCTTATAAAATGGACTGAATAAAACCCACCACAGGAGAGTGTAATGATTTAGAGAGATAAAATAGATCAGGTGAAAACATACCCACCAAATGAGAGTTGGTTTAGCTTCCATTTTCTCAACAACTCTATGTTTCAGATAATCAGAAACCTTTGACTGTCATACGATACTTACCATGCATTTGGTGAAACTCTTTAAGGGCTTTGCGCAGACAAGAAGTTATCTCAAGCAGTGCCTTCTCCAAAATACCATGGTCCTCGTGTTTTATTGCACTGAATATAGCAGGAATTACCTTTAAAAATAAAAAATACAAAACACAAACACTTAAGATTTCCTGGCACTAAACACTGGCGTAGAATAAAATTCTCCTAAATCTTAATCCCTAAATTTGGGATTTCTTTCTTTCTTGGGATGGTTATCTGATAGTTGGATGAATTTCCTTTTATTAATGAAGCTTGGGATGTCTTTATTCATTTACTAGAGATAAGTTTATATAGTTTGATTTATTTCTATTTCTAATCAAAACTATTAGATTTATATCAATATGTGATATAGTTCCATGCCAAATTGCATTGAAAACATTTCTCTCTTACTGGGGTTTCAAGTTTGATTCTAAATTCATAGCTCTTACATTTTGTATTCTAGGTGATCCACAAAAATAAATAAAATATTTCTACCAGATGATCCTTTACCTCCAATTAAATAATCAAATGCTGTATTTAGTCAAGATAAAGTTATTTCAAGTGTAATATAGCTTAGTTACTAAGTGATTGCTCTGCTTATGTGTATCAAGATGTAAATTTTCAGTAGGGATGGACATACTTTGATTGCAGAAGCAGCTGCTATTTCCACCAACAGAGAAACCAGGAAGAATCCCTTACTGCAATCCCCACCAGGAAATGAGAACAGAATGTCCATGTTCCTAAAAAATTAGTCAAGGGAGTCAAGAATTTAGCAAAAATGTTGGTAATTTTTGAGTACTTTATAGTTTTCAAACATTTTTGTTTATCCTATTTTATTTTCAAACTAATCTTGTGAGATAAGTATGGCAGGTTTTACTACCCCCATTATGTAGCTGGGAATATTAATGTTAGGTCCGTTGTCTAAGATAATATAATTAATAATAGGTTAAACTGGAACTTGAGATTCCGTTCTGGAACTTGGAACTAGAAATTTCAAGACTATTTCTGTTTGTTACCTCATTAATTTTTCACATACATATATATTGCCATATTTATATGCAGATATTCAATATTTATTGAGAAGTGTGAAAGGTTTCAATTTAAGAGTAGTCTTCTGCTTAAATAAATATATTCATATCTATAATTTTATCTGTGAACCTGATTCAGTTTCTCAGTGGTTTATCTGCCTTACAAAGGAATTGACCAGGAAATTGAAAGAACTGCTTAGCCCCAATTTTTTTTGCTATTCACGTTTTGCATTGATGCAGACATGGTATCTGTGTATCTATGAGTTTCATGGTGATTAAATTCAGGACTCTGAAGCCAGACCACTTCTGTAGCTTGCTGTATGACATTGAACAAGAAATTTGAGGTTTCTGCCTCAGTGTACCCATCTGTAAAGTGGGACTGATGACACTACTCTTGCATTGAAAAACCTCCCATAGCTTCCCATGTATTTCAAAACAAATGGTTAAATCCCTTATCCCAGCCCAAGTCCAACATAACCTTTTTTCCATACATTTATTTCTTCATCCCTTTCCTACGCTGTTCTTTTCATCATTCACGATTTATCAGCAACACTAGCCTTCCTTCAGTTCCCTAATGCACCAGGGCATTTGCCACCTAAAGGCCTTCCTCCTTGCTGCTGCTTCCACTGTGAACACTGTCGTCTTCTCCTTCGAGTTATTGCCTACTCACTCTTCTGAACTCAGCTTAAATAACTTGCTACAGGATTCCTCCTTCATCCCTTTCATTTGGTTAGAATTTCTAGTAGTTTATCTTCTCACACCTTCTCTTAACCACCTAGCAATTTACATAACTTTCATATATCTGCTTTTCCCCCCATTAGTCTGGCTTCACCAGGGCAGGCTTATGCCTATGAAATTTATCTTGGTTTCCCTAGCTCTTAGCCTCTGCTTAGCATACAGATCAAAATAGTACAGATTGGGTCAAAAAGAACAGATTTATGTTTCTGAGGTCATTAAACCATAGACACACAGATGAATGTGCATTTCATATTTATGCATATTAATTTAAATTTTACATATGCAACTATTTTTGTATATATCTGTAATATAATATCAACAGATACAGTCATATCATAGTCATAGATATAATTAAGGACTGGGATTTTTTGTTCTTTAAACAATTACTTGAATTACTCCTTGCCTGAATTCAATTGGTCTTTCAAAAAATACATTTAAATCTATTTTCACCTTAAATAACAATTCTTAGAATATAATGAGAAACAAATACTTACTCGTAAGTCATGGGCCTTATGAAAGTAGTCATGAAGCAATGGACCAGTTGGAAGAAGAGAAAGAAAATCAATTTAAAAATAAATGGTTTTGAGTTACTATTGTTCAATGGAATACTACTGATGTATCAAAAGTAAGACATGACAGACTGAGGAAAAAAAGATATATTTACATTTTTCAAGTAGGTATCTCAGACACTTTATTTAGGGCTTTATAAGTGAACTAACAAATTAAATACTCAAGGAACACATGTGCATGGTCAAAGTTAGTTGTTACTAATATGAAACTGTTCTAGATCAAATCCTTTTGTTTCGTGGCATTCCCATGTCTAGAATACTCCTGTACAGATGCTCACCCAGAGCCCTGGGAGACCACAACTCTCTTGACCCTTTACTGTGCAGGGCCTAGATTCTCAACAGGCTCATGTGAAAGCCCAGAGGTAGCCATCTCTATGGCTGAAGATGCGTTGACACCTAAACTCAAATGGACAGTTAAAAATTAAATATGTAGAATCTCAAAAACACACTAAGCAGAGGGAAGCCAGACACAAAAGAGTACATACTCTAGGATTCCAATGAAATCCAATAACAGAAAAAACTAATTTTTGATATGACAGGTCAGAATATATTAGCCTGGGGATAGGGAAGAGAACTGAAAGGAAAGAGCCACGGAAGAATTTTCTGAAGTGATAGAAATATTCTTATCTTGTTTACGGTTACACGTGTGTATCTAATAGTCATATTCATCAAAATGAACACTTAAGATTGGTGCATTTCATTGGTGTTACTTATATATATCTCTCTCATACATGTTCAATGCATTTGTGGTTATAAAAACACCAAAGAAACTGTACCCCAAAAACACAGAGGAAAGCTGTGCTGCCCCAAATTAAACCACTAACTCCCTTCTGATTTAAATAGCATACAGTCCTGTAATTCCCATAATAATTGCAGATTACACACCCACTAGGATCCTTTTTCTTCCAGTTTGCCAAGACACAGTCTGCATAAACCAGAATGGGAGGCAGCCCCAGCTTCTTAGAGAGTTGGCAGTAAGGAATAGCAATGTTTCTTGGCAGAACCTAATTAAAACACAATACTTAGTATTAACTTTTGAAGCATGTTACACATTTTCTTCTGCTTCCTGAGTGCCAAAACAATAGCCGTTCTATGTAATGACACTTGAAATGTGTTAAAGAGAAAGCCTCTGGCCAAGAGTGATTCACCTGTGCTGAGCCAGGTGTTTAGCCTAATTACAATTATCAACCTCCCTCAGAAAAGTAGCCCTAACAGTCAATCAGAAATTTTCTGGTCAGCACCAGGGAGGTAATCCATCACATGAGCCTTCTCCATCCTCCTCCCCCTCAAAAAAGAAGAAGTCATCTGCTTAAGACCCCCTACTTCTCCCTACTGGAGGATAACCTTTCATGAAACACTTTTTCTTTTGCCCCCCTCCCACCCCCCACCCCCATGCCTTTTCTGTAAAAACCTTCTGTGTTGTATACAGTTCTTGGGAGCATCTCTCTACTTACTAGATGGCATACTGCCCAATTCATGAATTGTTTAATAAAGACAATTATCTTCAAATTTAATCTGTTCAGTTTCGTTTCTTAACAGATAAAACAAATGGAAGTTTCTCTTCCTCATTCTGTAACTTAATCCCAGTAATTGTTGAATGTTTATAGTTTAGATTTGTGTTGATGTGGACATAAATTGATCATAGAGAGAGAGAAGATAGACCCTGGACTTCCTAAGGTCCTATGAGTTATTTGTACTCCACGTAGTAAAAGGCTCCCAAAACCCCACAGGCAATCCTGATGGGAAAGTGCACTTTGTGTACCCAAGCTGTGTTCTCTAACTGCTGTATTGTCATGAAGCTGGCATTTTATTCTTTATCTGCCTGACTTCTTCATGTAACTATCATTTTGTTTTTAATCAAATGATCCAATGTAATAATTATTAAGATCATCCTTGTCATCAGAGTCTATGATTGGAGTGTATCTAACTGGGCAAAGGACAGGAATGGGTGGCCCCAACGGGGCAGTGGGCGGTAGGATTTGAGTGGTAGAGAACCGTTCCACAGTTCTGTGAAAATTGTGGGAGCTACAACCCAAGTCACTTCAGATTAGCTTCATCTACTTCAGATGAGGTTTTAACCAAGAGAACAAAATATAAGAATAAAATAACTGACTATCAAAGTAGCACCTGAAAGTGGGCTTCCCATGGAAGAGCTTGTGCCTCCGAGAATTAAAACATTTTGGTTGGCAAATAATTTACGTGTGTTTCACAGGGAAATAAAATTTGGCCTCTCTGATTTAGGGATAGATCAAAGGGAAACAAAAAGGGAGGAAGTTTAATTGAAAAATTAATTGAAATGATTTAAGGGAAATGAAGGAAAGGTTCAAACACATCTTAATGTATTTATATTCATTCATGCAGCTACTATGAAGCTCAGAGGCTAATTTCTTGCCCATTCTCAAGCAAAATGTGCCTTCATTGAGGTATTTTATTTGTTATCCATTTCTTTTCTCTTTCCTACAAATCTGTCACTTATTTTTATTTTTTTGTATGTATTTTTATTGCCAGTTTCTAAAATCCTTTTCAAGATGAGGTAGCATACAAAAACTGGATAACTTTAAAAAATACATTTTCATGTTTTATTTTATAATTCTTATCTTAAGTCTGACAAATTATCTTTTGATCATCCCATGTACATTCTGGTCTCCACATTTTTGCTAGTCCTCTTTCTCTTTCTTTTCTACTCCTCTCCTCTTTGGATAAGCCCAACCAATCTTCCAAGAAATAATTCCAGGTCCCACTTCTTCCTTGAAGCTTTCCATGATCATGTAGCTGGTCTCTCCTGCTGTCATTATTGATGCACAATGCCTGTGCACTTAGCTAGTCTCATATCCTAGGAAGTCTAGGCAGATTGTGTGCTTAGCTAGAGTCTAAGCTACGTGTAAAGACCATAACTAATCTTAACTTTTTATGTCATCACAGAATCTAGACAAAACCCTTTAATGATTACAAATGTTAGGCAGAAAGACAGACTTGAGCAGGATGAAAAGAGGGTGAAGCCCACCAAGAATTCAGGTTGTTAATCAGATAAAGCCGGAGAGCCAAAGATAACTCAGAGGATTAATTAAAGCCACAGGGACCAAGAGTGACTTGAATGCACAGACACTCCCCAGATAAGGAACCTCAGAGTACAGGCAACCCCCAGATGACAAAAATTCCCCAGATAAAAATGTCAGCACACAGCCCATGTCTTCAATCCTCCAATCAGATCAAGCCCCCAAGGTCAAAGAATGTCAATCAGGGACTTCTGTGCCCTGCCAAAAATCCCATAAAAGAACCCTCACAGTAGCCTACCTTTGCCTACCTTGACTCTGGCCTCTTCCTCCCTTGGAATGTATTCAAACTTGCCGTGTCTGCCTTGACCCTGGCCCACTCCTCCCTTCGAGAGTAATCAAATAAACCTGCCTTTATCTGCCTTGACCCTGGCCTGCTCCTCTTTGGGTTGTATTCAAATAAAACTTTCATTCTGCTTTACTACTGTGTCTCTGCCTTTAATTTCTTTGTGACCAAGGAGAATGAACTCAACCCCCAACATAAGGAACTATGTACAAGGTGTTCCCATGATCGTGCAAAGCAACTTCTCTAAGAGTGAATCATCACACAGGAAAACTATATGTGCTGTTCTGTTGTGGGGGATTGAGCTTGTTCTCCTTCGTTCCTGTTCCTGCTGCAACAAAGAATTGAAGGGCAGAGACACAGTGGTGAAGCAGGGTAAAAGTTTTATTTGAATGCGCTCCCAGGGAGGAGCAGGCCTGAGTCAAGGCAGATAAAGGCAGGTTTATTTGATTACACTCCCAGGGAGGAGCAGGCCTGAGCCATGGTAGGTAAAGGCAGATTTATTTGATTACACTCCCAGGGAGGAGTGGGCCAGGGTCAAGATAGACAAGGGCAGGCTACCAAGGAGCATGAACTTGCAAGCCCAATTCAGAGCGCTCAGCAGCCCCTCCCTACTTACCTGAAATAGGACCAAGAAAGTGAAGGTGTAAGTCTGGAGGGTTAGAGTGAAATAGCAAAGGAACAAAGACACCGCTGGAAGAGCACAGAGACAAAATGTTATGTTGAAGGGCAAGAAAGATTTACTTAAAAGTTACACACTTAGAGAAGAAAAAGTGTGGGAGTCTTGAGAGAGGAGGTATGCTGAAAGGCTGGGGTTTCTGTCTTTTAAGCACTTCTCAAGAATGTGACAAAGGGCTAGGGGGTACAGACTTGTCCCTGGTCTCAAAATCTTATCTCTGGTGAGAGACACCGTGTCTCCTCTACTCTGTTATCAGTCCTCCAGCTGATTCCGCTAAATAAACTTCACACAAGAAATTTATTGATCCGGCTCCTCCCCAGGATGGTGACTTTTCTCTGCGGATATGTCTGTTACGCCTGTTTGCCTTGCTTTAAGGTCGTGGAGAGGTACTGTCTGTTTACTAAAGAATACATTAGGAACCTTCTTAACTCCCTGGTTTTTAGAGTGGAATTCCTCCTGTTCTTACTATAACTGTTTATCTTTGGATTTTTTTGAAAATTAATCCTGAAGCTTGTCTCCTATTCTGGTTACAAATTACTTGATGAGGGGGGAGGAGGAGGAGGAAAAAACAGCGTACAGGTTAAGTGAAGGAATAAGCTGGGTCTTTCAGCAGGCTAAAGTGAATCTTAGCTCTGACTGACAATGAAGACACTGGCTGCGCTCAGATACTTTCCTTTATCTGGGTAAGATCCTGACATTCCAAGTCGCTCCTGGTCTTTGGAGCTTTAACTGATTAACTCATTAACTCTGTGAATCTTTTCTGGCTCTCTAGTTTTATCTGGTTAACTCTTTTTTGAGTCCCTCTAGTGGGCTTTACTGGCCTTATTCTCCCTCCACTCTGCTCATATCTATTTTTCTGCCCTAACAGTTCTATCTTTAAACAAGGTGTGGAAAAAAAAACAACCTTTATATGTGTCCAAAAAGAAAAAAAAAACCTTTCACTAAATGGCAGAAGGTGCTTACAGAATCTATTTTATCACTTTGTGTTTTAAAGGTTATTATAATTTATATTGGTTTCATGTGATTAGAGAGTTGCCAGATAAAATACAAGACGGTATTTTAAATGTAAAGTTATCCGCTGTTGCTGAGAGCAGTGTGAAACCACTATATTCTTCTACATTGATGGGGTGAGATGAGCATTAAGAAGAGTCATAAAATGTTCCTATCTCCCAAAGTCATAGACAGAGAGAAATGTTTCATATTCAAATATATTGACTATAGTGTCATTTACAATGGTAAAATATTAAAAGCAAGCAAAACATTTATCAATAAAGTATTGGATAAATAGAGTTCAGGAACTCAATGAAAAAAATTACAAAGTGATTTCAAATGATGACTGGGATGGTTTTGTTAGAAGCCCCAGGTCCCAGAGAGAGTGCGGGGCCAGGTCACCAAGCTGGAGCTTCGTGCTGGACCTGATTACAGTTTCAGCCCCTCCAAGGAATGGAATTTTAAACTAATCAATCTGGAATCCCCTAATCACAGGTGAGTTAATCTGCATTAAACCCCTGTTCCTTCCCCTAAGGGAAAGGGACCTTGCCTGAAACAATCCCTTCTTTTCTTTTGCTAATAACTTCTTGCCCCCTCTGCACCCACCTCCTCTTTCCCATAGAAATCCTCCATTTCGAACAACTCCCTGAAGCATTTGTCTGCTTGCTTCCTGGGAGCCTCCTAATTCATGAACCAATCCATAAAGCCAATTCAATCTTCAAGCACTCAGCTGAATTTTGCTTTTTTCACACTGTGCAGTAACTAAAAAGTGCTCACAATATAATTTCAGTGAAAGAAGCAGTACATGCATGCATATGCACATGACAGAGCAAGGGTGTTACAGAAATAAAAGATTAAAAATCCAATAGTGAAAGAGTTGACATGTTAAGTCAGTGATTTATTGTTTTCCTTTACCTTTCTTCCTGTTACTCAAGCTTCACAAAATGCAGCTATTGTACTTTAAGAATTCTTTTAGGTTAAATGTAAATTGGACGTACATACAAGTAGTGTAAGAAAAAGTGGAAAATCTGCAAACCTTCCGAATATCTCCATCTCCTTGATTCCACACATATGCCATGGTGATGTACCCCAGCACCAGATGGGCAAGTCGCTGAGACTTGTACCCTTGGAGGCCATCAATGCTGAGCATAGGTAACTGAGAATAAAAGGACAGGTTGACTTAACATGGGTGACATTATAGCTTCAAAACCAAATTAAAAATGCTAAGAAACTATCCTAGAAGAAGACAAATGGAATAGTTTCTTCAAACCTCCTCAACTCTTGCACGTAGTTGGCCAGTCTCAATCACTTCTGTCAGATTTCTGGCAATGAGAATCCAGGCATCATAAGGCTTAGGTAGCTCCTCCTTGAAAAAAAAAAAAAAAAGAATTGAAGAGGAAAAAAATGTAGTGAGAATGTTCAATATTTTTATCTGAGTCATGGGTACATGAGTATATACACATGTTAAAATTCATCAAGCTGTACATTTTATTGTCTGTACATCAATATAAAAATAATTTTTTAAAAGCAATAGGACTTTTATTTACTAGAGGAAGTTTTTGTAAAATAGTTTAGCCCCCCATTGATTGTCTATCTTGCCTCTAAATCAGTTTTGTGCAACACTGTCCTGACACACACTTAGCTGTCTAGTGACACCAGCCCGTGCACTGTCCTCTGCATATTCAGAGCGCAGGACCATCTCTGTGATCCTCCCCCAAAGCATTCTCATCTGCTTCTTTTTCAAAGTTCACCTCAAAACTTCCACTAAAATCCGACTGCGCCAGTCTACACTCATCCCCAATTACGTGTCCTATTGTTGCCAGGCAGCTGCATCTGGGGTGGCCTCTCCCTGCATACCAGGTGAAGCCTCAGCCTGGACAGGGGAGGGTTCTTGACTGTGAAGGAGAAAGAATTCTTGAGTAGGTGACAAAGGAATTCATTGAAATGAGAGCAGCAGGGAAGGGCAGTGGCCTTGCAGGCACCAAGGAACAGGAAAAGTGCAGAGAGAAAGTTCTCAGCCTAGGGCAGGTTCCCTTGCCAACCCTTGAAGCCAGGGTCACCTGGCATCCGATGTCCACGTGGACCTGCACAGCATGGGGACTAACCCCTACCACCTTAGGGCTGGGGGGAGCGGTGGAGCACCGGATGGAGTGACGTGATGTTCTGAGACCTTCCCAACAAAAGGAGACTTTCAGGCAGGCTACCGGTTCATGGGATTAAAGACGCTGGCATGAGAAGTGAGACAGAAACCTCCTCCCAAACTACATATAATATGAAAATATAGCAAATACAACTAACCCTGAAAGAGTGGCAGGAAAGACCACTTACTACATCTGGTAGACTGTCTACATGTGGGGAAAAGAGAAGATCTCACGGAAAAGGCTAAAGCAGCAAAGCCACCATCTGTCAAGACCCAAGCCCTTCCCCCAGCCCAGTTTACCAGGGGGAAGGGAGAGAAATGGAGTGGGGAAGAGGTGAAGGCCTGAGACTGCTGAACACCCAGCCCTGGAGATGCGCTCTGTGAGTACAAACCTACAGGCAGGCTCCTGAGAGCCGACTGCACAGCTGCAGTTCCGTCTGGTCCCCCAGGGGGCGGAACTCACAGGCTCACGTTCAGAGCGCTCAGCAGCCCCTCCCCGAGTATCAGGAGTAAAGCAGAGACAGAGTGAAGGCTTGGAAATAAAATGAAATAGTAAAGAGACAAAATGCAATAATTCGAGCAGTGAGAAAGCTTTATTTAAAAGTAAGCACTTAAAAGAAAGGGAAGTGCTGGCATCCTCAGAAAGGAGGTGTGCTGAAAAGTTGGGGATTCTGTTGTTTGAGGCTTCCAAGAATGGAGCAAAGGGCAGTGGTGTGGGGTGCTGGGTGTAGGCTTGACTTGTGGTCTCATGATGTCTCTCCAGCGGAGAATACTGCATCCTCATCCACGGTCAGTCCTCTAGATAATCGTATAAGAAAAACTTAACACCAGAAGTTTACTGATCTGGTTCTTCTCTAAGATAGTGGTTACCCTCAAGCACTGGGAACGTACTGATTGGGACTGCTTGCTCTGCCTTAACATAGGGTGGGTTATTGTCTGATTACCAAGAAATATGTTAGGAATCTTACCTCCTAATTCTCTGATTTTTAAAATGGATTGTTAGCCTTAAATGGGGTCCCTCCTGTTCTTACTATATTGTTTATATCTCAGCATGTTTCATCGTAGGCAGGGAAAGTTAATCATGATGCTTATCCCATGTCCCTGCCCTATCTCACTATGGATTATACCTTTCCACATTAAGTAATTTATTGTTACCTGCTTTTTTGTTCCTCCTTGGCTAGATTTTAATTTTTTTGGAATGGAAGAAAAATAACATTTATAAGATGTCAGTAGTAGACTAGACTCTTTCCTCAATAATTTCTCATTTTAACTATTATAAGGACCTAAAAAGCTGATGGTTATCTCCATATCCTAAATAAGCAAAGCAAGGCTCACTTTACATAATCTGCTTTGTATAGTTCATCATGATTTAATCATAAATGCTTCCAACTTGCAAAAAATCAATGCTCTTTTTGTATCTCACTACCCACTGGCAAGGATTTTATCATGCTTTAAATTCTCTGTTTCTTACAGGACCTGGTGTAGTACTAGACAGGTAGGAGATGATGTACACATATACATGGCAATTACCTCCTGGGTTGGTACTATAGGCTTATTTTTGCCCAGTAAGTGCAAATGGAATCCAAATAAAAGTGCCTCCCTGGATCTTAACATATTTATAATCTCTCCCCAAAGGAAAACATAAACACAAAAGACCTAGGCAATACCCTGAAATGAGATTCAAATCCCTGAAAAACCCCCATATGCCCTTTCCCCAAGCCTCCTTCATTAAGCTTCATTCCAGACACACGTTGGGTCATTAATACTGAATGATGGGAATGGGGTGCAAATCAAGAGATTAACTCAAACCAACAAGGGTGAGGTTTTAAGCTTCAAAACAAAGTTAATATGAGAGGTAAGTTATAAAACAAGAAGACAAATAAATAAAGCATAAAATTCAAACATGTTGAGGGGCTGCAGATAACTGGACAGTCTAAAACTGTTAGGGCAGATTTTTAGCAATGAAACATCCAGAAAGTATATTCACTAGTCAGTCACCTTTCTTGTGTGCTCCGAATTTTTCTTCCTAGCCACTCAAATGCTGTGCACTGGTGTTTCAAGTAAACCACTATATATTTATTTTGTTATGTGTTTCACTATGTAGCACACCCAAATTTGGGGTTGTCGCTATTTTCCCCAAAATAATAAATACCTTTTTTTTTTGTTGTTACATGTCATGATTAGTATCCTATCTGACAGAACTTTGAACAAATATAAAATTCAATCAATAATATATTTTTGGTTCAGAGGATGCCTAAATAGTATGATATGAGTTAGTGAAGAATAACACAGAGGGCCAGTCAACTTTCTGCCAGGTTAAAGGAAGCATTTGGGCACCTATATGGGATCAGAAGACACATTACTTTCCTTTGGAATAGAAAGCTGACAGGTTATAAAAGGCAGAATGGACATTTTTGAGCTCGTAATATCTAGGCAAGATCTTCCATGAAAAAATAAAAGTAGGTCTCCATTTTTTTTTTCTTGTTTCAGGACACTGAATCTAATTCCCTAAGCATTTCAAGTAGCAGTACTTTTTTTTTTAAGTAGCTCAGGAAAAGTTGTTTTGCTTCTGTTTGGGCGCTTTGCATTAGGCCTTGAAATCTGTTCTAGAAGTCTGCATGATTAAAACTGTTTCAGTGTCTAAGAGAACTGAACCTGGAAAAAGAAAAAGAAAAAAAAGGAATAGACTTGATAGGAGGTTTCTAGTTTCTGAAAAATATTTTTTCTTGTACACTTGATAAGTACATCAAAATCATCCAATTCTGGCAACTCAGTGTGCTTATACAGAGCCCGAGCAAGTCTGAATAATAACTAACTTGCAAATACAAAGCAAACTAGGTGCTTTTAGCAATACAATTATAGCATTTAATTCTTTTTCTTAACTTAGTATTAGAAGAGGAAAAGTAGATGGGGAGGGAGAAGTTGCTTTAGATTTGACTGTCTTACACAAGGTATTACACAAGGATGGTATTTCTAAGTACAGTTAGGTTGTAGTTTCTGATTTAAAATAAATTTGCTGCACTTAAAGGTACTCTCTCGAGTGTGGACTCTAATCCACAAATAATTAGAGATACACTGGTATATAGGATTGTCACAACATGTTAATTTGGCTCCTAGAAACCCCCTCCTGAAATCTCGTGTACTTTATTAGGCCTGAGTGGGAAGTGGGTATGTCTTGTGATCTCTTCTCTTCAGAGAGGCAGCATAGCATACTGGTTTTAAAGTCATGCCCTCTGGAGCCAGACTAGTTAAGCTCACATCCTCTCTGCCATTGTTAGCTGTGTGAGTTCGGAAAATCACTTGAATTCTGCACAGCTTACGTGTCTCATCAGGAAAATGAGGTTAACACCATACATATCTTTTAGGATGGTTGTGAAGATATAATAAGTTACTATTGTAAGTTGCTTGAAAACACCTTATGAATGTTTGATAATTAAAATTGAAGATTAGATGGTTTTCATGGTATTCTTTGGAAGACAATGTAGGGAAATGTAGGATTTAGGGTAAACATTTACTCTACATGTCTCACACTCTGTAGGAAAAACTTGTAACAGAAGAAAAAATAGTAGCTGAGAGTCTCACTTGAATCTTATGCTTAACAACAAGCAATATTAATACAACACAAAATTGCCTAATGTGTCATCTCAAACCCTAATTCAAGTAGGAACATATACTTCATGCAATTTAAGGTGTATCAGCCAAGAAAGGGGGTTCCTCTGATGCATGGATCATTTCTTACTTTATTTTTTTTTTCAAAATGCCTTCTGAAAATGAAAATTTTTTAAAGCCAGAATACTCCTATAGTTTCCTTATCTCATTGCTTTCTGTATCTGTGTTAAATAAGTAAGGAGTATATCAGTCTCCCTTTCTAGACAGAAAATTTCAAGAAAATTAGGTGATCTATCAAAGCTCTGCTCCAATTTTGGCTCCACTTTATCCTGCTTCAGTCTTCTTCAAATACAAATTACTGAACCAAATCTGTTCAACAGAAGTTAATTTGCCCAGGTAAGTAATGGTCAAGAAAATGTTTTTGCCCATATTTCGGTTCCCTCTCTTACCAGTGGATTTGGCAGAGCGAATCCCACACCTTCATCTATTTCGTATTCTTTAAAAATCTTCTGAGGATCTTCCAGAAGAGATGCCTTATCACATGCCATCTTCCAGTCCTCTCCTGTGATCCTCTCAGCCTCTGAGCAGTTTCAGAACATCTATTTATTACAGAGGTTGCCATAGCCAATGACCACAAACGAGGCAATGAGAAATGACTTCCACTTTTGGAGTAGTTTCATTTTCTTTATTTGGAATTTGCTAAACAATAAAACCACAGGAGCATTACTATCCATCATAAGAAGAAACTGAAAGTTTATATTCCATATCAAATATTTATCATTGAGCATATCATTTGCTTACTGCCATTAGTGTGGTCAGGAAGGGCCTGCTTGAAATAACAGAGACCAGGAAAATAAGTCACCAGAAAAGAACATTTTTATTGTATGGAAACTTCTAAATCTTCAATTAAAATAATGAATTTGACCAAAGCTAGATTTCTAAGCTATCATGTAGTTTTTACTGTCACTGGCTTTATTTTAAGCTTCGAAGGATTCTTGGAACTCTTGTTTGCAGTAGTCATGAAATGCAGTCTGTGGGTTGGTGAACTATTAGTAGGAAAAAATGCAAGCACATGAAGAATTTAGAAAGATTCTGACCTCTACCCCTGCCCATTTTTCTTAATGCAGTCTTTTACCTGGGTTCACAATGACACAGTTCTTCTCTATGTTCCTAGTAAGTCATTTTCAGAAAGATTTTCCTGCATCCCTACTATATATCTGACTGCTAGGACTGCTGAGGCTTTGTAATATATTACAAGTTGGAAAAAAAAAAGGTTACAATGCCTTGAAAATGTTTCTTGCAAGAGGTAGAAATGACATTTGGTAAAGGTTTTCAGAGTGCATGCGGGTCCATGATCAGTTGCAGGCGTTGTTCAGTCTAACAAAGCTGAAGCCAAAGCAGAAACCATATCGTTCCTTTTGATGATTAAAAGCAAAAAAGGGAAGGAGGTGGTGCTTGGTACATTCAAAGATAATGCAATTTTGTCATCCAGCTTATCAGTACTTCAAATAAATTTTAACGGTCCATGGTGTTGGCTTCCTTCTAGAATAGTTCTCATACTACTCTTTTCTTCCCTATTGTATCACAGCTTTTTTTCCTAAAGATGTAGTCTTACAAGAAGATCTTTTCTGTCCCATAAAGGGATGCAAAACTGAAACTACAATTACACAGAAAAGACACAACCATGACTGAACATCCTTAAAAGGAGTGATTCAGGAGGCTGATAGTTTTGAAACCAGGCCAAGGGGGAAAAAAACAAACACAAAAATAAGAACACTGGGACACTATTTTTTATCAACATCTAAATTTCATGTGGAAATCATCATTTATAGATACATATTTATATACAGTAAGCTATATAAATTTTAAGAGTTGGAAATTCGTGTTGGAAATAGAGGAGTAAATCCCCCTCTTGGAGTCTTCACGGATCTTTACAACGTGGCTGCTGAAAAGCAAATAAGATTAAAGAATTGATTATACACATAGGTCCTAGAAAGGGAGGCACAACAGGCCCGAAGGGCCACATGACCTCACTTTGGTCACAGCAGAGCGAGGACCTGTGGGCAAGCCCCTTTAGGGAGAGCCTTGGGTGGGGTAGTTTGTAGTAATGGAAGCACTGGCTTTGAACTACACGAATGGAACTAGATCAATGTGGAAAAGAGAAAAGGGGCAAAATGGGGACGGCATCCTGAGATTTATTGCGTCCACACACGTTAGGGATGAGCACCCAGAAATGGGAAATAATCAGATAAAAATCAGAGCGGGAGGGTGACTGCTGGCACTCAAGGGGTCATTGAGACAACAAATAACAGCTTAACATGGCAAGATTAAATTACACTGTCCCATAGATTAGGACAGAGAATATTCCCATCATCTGAAATGCACCCTTTGTCTCTTTATTATCCCCTGTCACCACAGCTGTGTTGGAAATGGAGGAGAAAATCCCCCTCATGGAGTCTTCAATGGTCTTTCCAACATGGTCAAACACTAGTCCGATTTTTATCACTATAGATTTGCTGTGTGTCTGGTCTTGAACTTAGTATAAATGGAATCATACAATATGTATTTGCAGGGTCTGCCCTCTTTAGCACCACATAATGTTTCAGGGATTCATCCATGTTACATGTATTGATGATTTGTTCTCTTTCTTATTGCTCAGTAACTTTCCATTATATGAATACATCAGTTGCATTGTTTAACCATTCTCTTTAACCATTAATGGATATTTCATTTCTTTCCAGCTTTTGGAAATTATTATGAGTAAAGGTTCAGTGAACATTCTGATCCAAGTCTTTGTGTGGATATCTGAACTCATTGTGTTTAGGTCCCTGGCTAAGAGTAGGATTATTGTATAGTAACTTAGCTAAACAATTTTCCAAAGTGGCTTTCCATTCTATATTTCCATCAACATTATGAAATTTGTAGCCCCACATTCTCACCAACAATGTTTCCTCAGCACTTTAGTAAATACAAGAGGTATTGTAATGTGGATTCAATTTGCATTTCCCTTATGGCTAATAACATTGAGCACTTTTGATGAATGCTTATTTAGCACTCAGCTATCTTTAATGGTGTGCCTATTCAAGTCTTGGTAAACTCTTTTTACTGAATTTGATTTTCTTTTTATGATTGATTTGCAGTTGTGAATTCATTCTGGGTACACATACTGTTTCAGATATGTGTATGGAGAATATTTTCTCCAATTCTCTGGCTTGTTTTTTTACTTTCTTAATGATGTATTTTGATGAGGAGTCTTTCATTTTAAAGACCAATATATGAGCTTTTTTTAATGTTTGGGGAATTACAGAGTTATATCTAAGAAAATGTTGCCTGCTCCAAGTTCATGAAGACTCCTATATTTTCTGCTAGAAAACTTTGTAGTTACAGTTTTCACACTTAGGCCTATGATTCATCTTCAATTAATTTTTATATTGTTGAAGTTAAAATCTTTTCCATTTCTTTCCATTCCTTTCCTTCTTCCATTTCTTTAATTTTTTTCACTATATTAATAGTCCATTGTTCCAGCACCATTAGTTAAAATGACTCCTCTTTTATAGTGTTTTTTGGGGGAATGGGGGTGCTATTCTCTATCCTCAACATTTATTTAACCTAGAATCAAAAGCCTTCTTGGTTATTGATTGTCATTGCACTGAATCTTCAAATCAATTTAGGGAGAATTTATATCTTAACAATACTGAGTCTTTGATCCATGAATATAAATATAACTATCAATTTAATTATCTGTTCAAGTTCTCTTGAAAATTTTGGTTAATAGTCACTGTGGTAGTGTTGAAAATTGTGCCTAAGTATTTAATGTTTCCATAAATAGTAATTTCTCTTAAATTCATCTTTTAACTTTTTTCTAGTATGTAAGTACAATTGATATTTGTATATTGTCCCTTGACCTTTTCAGATACGCTTAATTGTTCTAGTTGGTTATTTGTATATTCTTTTATGTTCTGCGTAAATAATGACATCTTATGCAAATACAGTTTTATTTCCTCCTGTCATCTAATTTACAATCTTAGTGCAATGATTAGTTCCTCCAATACAAATAGATAAGAGTACATACTCTTGCCTTGCTTTTGACCTAGGGTGGGACATAGGCAGCCTTAGCATTTATGGCCCTGGTAAGGGGAAGTCAGGAGGGAACTAGGGTCAAGGCTCACAGTAAACAAGAAGCCACATCCTGGACATCAGGTTAAAGGAAGCATTTGGGCACCTATATGGGATCAGAAGACACATTACTTTCCTTTGGAATAGAAAGCTGACAGGTTATAAAAGGCAGAATGGACATTTTTGAGCTCGTAATATCTAGGCAAGATCTTCCATGAAAAAATAAAAGTAGGTCTCCATTTTTTTTTTCTTGTTTCAGGACACTGAATCTAATTCCCTAAGCATTTCAAGTAGCAGTACTTTTTTTTTTAAGTAGCTCAGGAAAAGTTGTTTTGCTTCTGTTTGGGCGCTTTGCATTAGGCCTTGAAATCTGTTCTAGAAGTCTGCATGATTAAAACTGTTTCAGTGTCTAAGAGAACTGAACCTGGAAAAAGAAAAAGAAAAAAAAGGAATAGACTTGATAGGAGGTTTCTAGTTTCTGAAAAATATTTTTTCTTGTACACTTGATAAGTACATCAAAATCATCCAATTCTGGCAACTCAGTGTGCTTATACAGAGCCCGAGCAAGTCTGAATAATAACTAACTTGCAAATACAAAGCAAACTAGGTGCTTTTAGCAATACAATTATAGCATTTAATTCTTTTTCTTAACTTAGTATTAGAAGAGGAAAAGTAGATGGGGAGGGAGAAGTTGCTTTAGATTTGACTGTCTTACACAAGGTATTACACAAGGATGGTATTTCTAAGTACAGTTAGGTTGTAGTTTCTGATTTAAAATAAATTTGCTGCACTTAAAGGTACTCTCTCGAGTGTGGACTCTAATCCACAAATAATTAGAGATACACTGGTATATAGGATTGTCACAACATGTTAATTTGGCTCCTAGAAACCCCCTCCTGAAATCTCGTGTACTTTATTAGGCCTGAGTGGGAAGTGGGTATGTCTTGTGATCTCTTCTCTTCAGAGAGGCAGCATAGCATACTGGTTTTAAAGTCATGCCCTCTGGAGCCAGACTAGTTAAGCTCACATCCTCTCTGCCATTGTTAGCTGTGTGAGTTCGGAAAATCACTTGAATTCTGCACAGCTTACGTGTCTCATCAGGAAAATGAGGTTAACACCATACATATCTTTTAGGATGGTTGTGAAGATATAATAAGTTACTATTGTAAGTTGCTTGAAAACACCTTATGAATGTTTGATAATTAAAATTGAAGATTAGATGGTTTTCATGGTATTCTTTGGAAGACAATGTAGGGAAATGTAGGATTTAGGGTAAACATTTACTCTACATGTCTCACACTCTGTAGGAAAAACTTGTAACAGAAGAAAAAATAGTAGCTGAGAGTCTCACTTGAATCTTATGCTTAACAACAAGCAATATTAATACAACACAAAATTGCCTAATGTGTCATCTCAAACCCTAATTCAAGTAGGAACATATACTTCATGCAATTTAAGGTGTATCAGCCAAGAAAGGGGGTTCCTCTGATGCATGGATCATTTCTTACT